TTTCTGTCTAAGTTTTAGGCATGAGTTGTTTTTATTATTTACCCTATATATAAGCTGAATATTGTACTCATAGTTGTTGTTGTTAACAATAACAAAAAGTGAGGACAATACTTCGTGTGTAAATATTAGACTCATATTTGAATGTCATGAAATCTGTTAAAATATGAATCATTTCTGTATGTAGAAAACATCCATCAATCTTCTGTCGGTGCATGAAATTGAGTTTGTCTTTGAAAACATAAAAGTATTTTTTGATAATTCCACTTTTAAAGAAATCATCACTAATCTGTATGTGAAACATGTAAAAAAAAAAGAAAAGAATGAACATCAATGACTAACCCAATAATAATTTATTGAAAGAAATGACATATGAAATTGCTAACAACGTGCTGAATGCATCAACAAGACGGAAATACAATATTATTTACTGATATATTTTCCATCTTTCCTCATAACCTGAAGCAGCTTATTGTAAAAAAAAGGAAATTAAGTTGAGGATTCTTTCATGGGTAATGGCTTCGCAAACAACAATATTTTCTTCCAAAATTCCTATTCTTTCTAATGATTTAATGAGTTAATTTAAGAATATCTTCCGGCGTAATAGTTTCGCAAACAGCTAATATTGATTCCCAAAATTAATTTTTGTAAACACATTGCTTCCTGCTCTCATAAACACGTTTATTTAGAACAAATGTAGTAAATAAGGTTTAGATCCAGGAAAATATGCCGGCCACACAATATGCCTTAATTTCTCAACTCTAAAGTATTCATTACTTGCATTAACGGCATTCGTTAGTGTGTTATAGTGGGAACTCAGATATTTGGCCGAGGGATATTTAACTGAATGGACATGTATGCCACACTCTTTATCGTAATTTCCTACATATTTTTATATTTATTTACTGTAATAATTTATAATTTTTCGTTTTTTTTTTAAATCTTTTCTACATATATTATATTTTACTTCAAATATTACTATAAGATGATTTTGAGATAAAGTACATTTTACTACAACAAAAATCTTAAGCTTTTGCGATATGAAATTCTTTCAATTTCGCTTTTAATGATCATTATCTTAAAGGGAAGAACTAGCTTTTATCTTACTGTTAAATACGAATTTAAATAATTAAATGTTACGTTTTACCAAAATACATTCAAATATTTTTTTAATACTAATTTCAATAAACAAATATTGAAATTAGAAAACTTTTAACTTTAAATTTAGATTTATTAATTTAATTAATTGAAATTCAGTGGTAATCATTAATCCTATTCAACCTTCTAATACTGCTAATTAAAATATTTAAAGTATTGCTTGTTACTATTTTTACTTGTACTTTTTAGGTCAAATATCCGTTCGGTTCAATATCTCCAAATGTCCGTCGGTGAAATGTCTGACCCTAACCCTAACCCTACCCTACAAAGGGTACTCTAACATTTGGCCGACGGACATTTAACCGAATGGACATTTAGCCGAAAATCTAGTGGTGTGCTTACATGTATGTCACACTCTTTATCGTAATGTGCTACATATATTTATATTTATTTACTGTATTAATTTATAATTTTTCTTTCCTTTTTTTGACTGGCCTTTTTTAATCTCTTCCGTATATTTTATATTTTACTTCAAATATTACTGTAAGATGATAAGTATTTTGAGAAAAAGCACCTTTTACTGCAGCAAAAACCTTAAGCTTTTACGATACAAAAGATCTTTCAATTTCGCTTTTAATGATCATTATCTTAAAGGGATGAACTAGCTTTTATCTTACTGTTAAATACGAATTTAAATAATTAGGTGTTACTTTTTACCCAAATCCACTCAAATATTTTTTTTAAATACTCAAATATTTTTTTTCAATAACCAAATATTGAAATAAGAAAACTCTTAACTTTAAATTTAGATTTAGTAATTTAATCACTTGAAATTCAGTGGTAATTATTAGTCCTATTCTACCTTCTAATACTGCTAATTAAAATATTTAGAGTACTGCTAGTTACTATTTTTACTTGTACTTTTTGGGTGAAATGTCCTTCGGCCAAATTTCTGTCAGCCAAATGTCTGGCCACGGTTATAGTGAATGGAAATGATTTTTTCCTTGATTACAAATGTCTTCGTAAGCTTAAGGTTGGCATTCCGAAATTAAATGTTGCCAGAAGTAATTATGTTCATCATCCATCCAGCAGTCCGCCTTCCAAAGTACAACAAACTCCTTACCGGTATTTACCATTTTCGTTGCTGAAACTTTAACGAAACAAGTTCCGCTTTCAAAGATAATGCAGGTTACCTCGAGCATCGACCCCATTAATCTGTGAGTACAAATGACTTGAAATCGACTTTTATACACAGTATCGTCCAACAACAACAACAAAGATGAAGACAATATTAAGACGATACTAAATGAAAAGAAGCAAACCATTTGTTTCATGAACCTTCCTAACCTATGTGGGTATCGAGTGTTTTAGGCATATTTAGAAACCTCATTGACTTAGAATAAGTCCTTGCAGTTCATAAGAGGTTGTTTGCGCTTTTCAATTTCCAAATACGTTTCAATTCATCGGGAGAAAGTCAAAGAATACCATATTTTTTTTCTCAGTTTCTAAACTGTTGTAGGAAACCTTTTACTCGGTTTTTCGTTGAATGTTAAAATTTGGAGTGTCGGGATTCCATACATTAACAAAATATCGTTACAGGGTCGCTCGTAATTTGGCCATCTAGAATAATCACACGATTTTTATTGAAGGAATAAAATTCAGTAGAAAAGACAACGTAGTTTCAACAAAAAAAGATTAATTTAATATAACGACAAGAATACAAGCAGTTGATGTTGGAAAGTAATGTCTTTTTGTTTGAGTTAATAAAGTTCTGAAATAAAATATAAATTGTTTCTGTGTACGTATGTGAGAAACAATGAAAAGTTGTTATAGGTGTGTTTGTATGAAAAAGTCAACACGTGTGGGCGTGATTCATAGTAAAGCGGATACAAGAGATAATTAGAAATTGTTTCTTACTGTTGGCGGTGTTGTCGTAGTCTGAAGTTTGTCAACGCTGTCGCTTTTAGCATGAAGTCGTGAAGATCATAAGCGAGAGTTGCGTGGAGTTTGGTGACAGCCGCGTGTATCCTTCTTTGGGAAAGGATTTCGTATGTTTTTATACACTTTCTCGTAACAAAATTGGCCCCAGAATTAAATTATTTATTTAATCCTAATTGGTCCTAAAATGACAAGTGGTATGTCTTCTACTACGTCCGTATGATATTTGGTCAGTATCTACCTAAAAATAATGGTAACTAATACAACAAACATACTGATTTGTATTCTATGATTTTATTGGTGTGTTTTAAGATGTAAGTGTTTTCTTGAGTGTGATTGGTTTATAAATATTGTATTTGATATTTTAGTGGACACGACACTGTGTTATCACAAAGAATTTACATATTTCTCATAATTTCATTTTTACTAAACATCCTTTAGTGCCAACCTTGAGAAAAATTAGAAAAATGTTAAAAACGCAATATTAGTAGAATATTTACTGATGCGGTGAATGAAATACTACGGGAAATGATTGCGTGTGTTATTTTTAGCAAACATTTGTTCGGTTTAAATGTACGCAGTCAATAAGAAGATATTTGAATAAGATGACCTGCATAAAATGATGGAAAAGACATTAAATAAGTTTCCAGAGAATTGACTGAGAAGCATAAAATAAATTTCTTAGAATATCATCCTTGTGAATTTTTACTTCTTCCATGTTTGTTTATTTGTGTGTGACTGTGTACGCTCGCGCATGCGCCAGTATAAAAAGAAATTACTAGACAAAGTAAACATATACAGTGTGCGTCATTGAATTAAGAACGTATTATAATGCATAGAAAAACAAAAATATTCAATAGATAAAATCTGTTCATTTTCAAATAAAGATTATACACAGGATATGTTATTCGATAAAACTAATGTCCATCTCAAGGTCGGACGACGTTACTGTAACCACTCAGCTGTGACTGGATACCCGGATTTGGTGGTACTAATTCTTGCTGTCTTCCAAATCGACAATAGCAGCCTTCAACAAGTCACCGGGTAACGTCGTGCCACTGATTGGTCACGTTCTCTACGATGCGTCAGAAATTGTAGTCCAGATGATTAATATCAAATGAGCTAGCATTTTCGTCTCAGTGAATCATTTTCTCTTTTCATTTGAGCAGCAGTTTTAGGACAAAATTCTCTTCAGTCTCGTAAAAGTTAGAAACTAATACGTTTAATGTGTTGTTTATTTTTTTTAAATGACTATTTTATGTTCATATAATCATTTATTTAAACTTCTTGAGTTTCTCTAATATATACTTACTGGCTATCCTTGATAGTGCTAGAGGAAATGCCTCTTTCAACTTTTGGTTCGCTCGTTGCTTTCTATTCAGGTTATTAGGTCTTTTATTGGTTTAGATCTGGTTGTGACAAAGTTTATGTTGAGTTAGGATTAATTCTTTGGGGTTGGAATTGTGATAGAGTTAGTAGATGCTACAATATATATATATATATATATATATATATATATAAACAAATGCTTAGAGGTACAAAATTTGTATATAGTTTTAAAAACAAGGAATGTACTGATTTTAATTTTAAAAGTCTCTAAGGCAATTTCAACCAAGATCTCATCAGGAGACAATCGTTGGATAATTAATCAACGAAAAGAATATTAACGACAATGAAGAGCAAAAAAGGGGGGAAACACACTAAAATAACAAACAAGTGTATATACTTGTAACGAGGGGAGGGGAAATAACGTATTAATAAAATTAGCGAGGGACAGTTAAAATAAAATATCCCCCAACGAATAAATAATTATTATAATATATAATAACATTAATTGGGTCTTACTTTGCTTTTATGCCTTCCCGTAACTTCATGGTAATACGTGTTTGGCTTGAAAGTGTTTTCACATATTAATGTTTGCGTGTTTCTAAACACGCTAACATACACAACAAGTAATACTTCAATACTGTACGAGGCATCAGAAAATTGAATTGAAGAATTTTAGCTCCTTTTCTTGTTTCCAGTTCATAAGAAAAAGAAAGAAAGAAAGAAAGAAAGAAAGAAAGAAAGAAAGGCAGAGGGAAATGAAAAATAATTAGAATAAAAACAAAACAACTATAACGAGTGGTTATTCAAAAAAGAAATGAAGATTTTTTTTCTATTATTTTTACTGCACCTTAGTATCAAAGTGTTTTATTTAAAAGTGAAAAGTTTGTGATACAGCTTCCTTTTCTTGTCAACTCAGACAGGATGATTATCTTTTGTCTGACATTTGACAGAGAATTAGCATTCTACAATAACTAGCATTAAGGATTGAAAATAAAAAATATATATATATATATATATATAAAAAATATATATATATATATATATATATATATATATATATATATATATGCATACATTTCCAATTATACACAAAAAAAGACGTATGTCCATTTTATATTCAATACCAGCAGTTGTTTTTCTTTATAGAACAGAAGTCAGCAATGAATACTGAAAAAAGGCGCCTGCGCAGTGGAGCCCACACGCGCCATTTGCAGACCTAGCGTTATGAAAATTATTTAAAAGTTAATATATTGGGACTTTTATAATAAAAAAAAGCTTGTTCACTTATTCAGCCCTTGTATTTTTCAAAAGCAATTTCGCACTAAGAATGTACATCGGTCGACAATAATTATTATCTTCCTCTCTGAATTTCAGAGTTGGTGATCTATCATCATTTAAATCATTTCTAGTTGAATTAATGCCCGCATCTTTGTTGTTTTTCTTTTAGCAACACTTTAGCTTGCTGCTACTTGGGTTTCAGTAGCAAGTAGGTTTTATAGACTAGAATTGCTTGTCAAATCTGTTTCAAATTTATAGTTACCTTTCCCAGAAAAAAGTGTCATTTTGTTTACTCCAGTGGGGTGAAGGATGCAACGTCTGTCTATATTTCCGAGATGAGGTATTGTAATTATAAACATTATTAACATTGTTCGGACTGTTGTCCTCATCTTTTTTTCCATGTTCACAACGTTTCGGCCGTTGCACACTACGGCCTTCTTCAGGTGGTTGGAAATTTAGCTACTGTGCTAAAAAGTTGTTGGTTGGATCCAGTGACTTGACCTAACGAATTGTGAGTTCAATACCTGGCTACTGCAGAACTGAACAAAAACTTAGAGAGTTGATTTAAAAGAAGATAGCTGAGACTTCAAGGAGCGTGAAAAAGAGATAGGTTCATACTTTTCCCAACGCGAATTTGTGAGAAAGTGAATGCAGCCTCTTCGTTCGAAATGCGACTTCGGACTCTCGGATCCGTCTTACGCGTAAGTTATCAATACTTGTCCGCCCTGTTTATTTATATCAGGTGCATGAAAAAAAGTACACAGCGTTTTTTGCTTTTTCTCAATCATTTCACGCCAAGCTAGAAAATAAAAGTCACTGGGCTGCAAGAGGTCACTGAGAATTAAATAAAAATAAAAATAAAAACTGGGTTTCAGAAGACAGAAAACAACAACAAAAATTCTTTAAAATGTAGTTGACAGGAAATTAATAGCCAAAAAAGAAGTCCACCTGCGATAACTGTTCGAGAAGAAAATATTAGCATAGAACTTACGGTTACAACTAGCAATTTAGTACCTCAAGCCGAGATACCAGGTCAGGACATATAATGTTGCAGGATTCTTCTTTGATTTCGTCAAGAAGAGCAAGCAGATGCACCAGTCCAGTAATAATCGATGCAGGACCGAATAGTAGACGTATACATATGCAAAATAAATTCTGGTGACAAAGATTGTCTTCCACAACATAGTGGCTCGACTTAACTCGAAGCGGACCTAGCAATTGACTCGATATAATCACTCCGCTTCATGTTAGTCGAAAATGTAAAACCAAATGAAAACTTAATGATTTCCTGGGGTTAGCATTAGCCATGTTGATAGAAGGTAAAAAGTACTTTAAGATTATTAATAGGAGAGCAGTTTAGTTTTAGAGGATTTCAAATTAACAAGCAACTTATTGAAGGTCAGTTTAGAGATCTCTTGCTAATATTCTTTTATTGAAGACTTAATATTAAGACAAGAGTAAATAGCGTCCTTGGTATGACGATAAACTACATCCGCGTCCTGGGTATGACGATAAACTACATCCACGTCCTGGGTATGACGATAAACTACATCCCCGTCCTCGGTAAGACGATAAACTGCGTCCAACAGCAGGGTCTTTGATTGAGTGGTTTTGAGGAGCGTGAAGCCACCTATTAATTGCTGGTGTTTCCAGGTTCACCAAGATCCGGGGTGGTGGCACCTGTTAGGGTCCCACCTATGGGAAGGTAGTTGAACACTAAACTGGGGTCGGAATACTATGAAAGTGTAAAAATAGGTTTTAATACCAAAAAAATACTTATTTCCAAAAAAATATTACCAGCAATACAATTTGAAAAAAAATTACCATCTATACATTTTTTCGAAAAAAATATTACCAGCAATACTTTTTTGGAAAAAATAAAAATATTAGCAGCAATAGATTTTTGAAGAAATAATATTAGCAGCAATAGAGTTTTGGATAAAAAATATTTCAGCGATAGATTTTTGAATAATAACTATTAGCAGCAATAGATTTTTGGAAATAATAAAAATATTAGCAGCACTAGATTTTTGAAGAAAATATTAGCAGCAATAGTTTTGAAGAAAAAAGTATTACTAGCAATAAAAATTTTGTTGGCATTAAATAACCCATTGAGGTTGATATGTCGTAAAACAAAACAAGAATAAATAGCTGTTTCATGAGTATGGATACGTTGTTTAATAAGATTGAATCAAATAAAAGAAACGAAAAGAAACACCACTTAACCTTCAACTTAAATAGAAGACATGCATATCAAACCCTACTAAACTCTTTCGTGAGATATAATACAACAGGAGCTAACTCAGGGGTACTTTTCCTCAGGACAGTATATACCAGCGAGTCTACGTGCCTTGTAAGGATCAAGTTTAAAGATGATAGAGGAAACCACAGACAGTTTTATACGCGTATCAAACAGTAGAGAGTCAATGCTAAGTGGAAAGTTAGGCAAAGATTTGCGGGCAAAGCATTCTGTTTTATCGGCAGAAGGTGTTTGGACTTCAAATTGTTTGAAGAGAAGAGGGATTGAAACCTACCATTCTTTAGAAGACTCTTGTAGAACCGTCTGCGAACAAGAACTTAGCATCATTGATGATACATTTGTACCTAGTAGGAACGGATACGAAGATATGTCTGTTGGGTTCAGAACTTTCACTTTGGTATAACCGGAAAAATTATCTCTTTGAATTATGGCCGAAAAAGTGAGTGAGAATTTCGTGGCTATATCTAAAAAACAAAACAAAATCTTCGATGCCGGCTGTAAGCGACCTGGAATTGCAAAGGAAATATTTGTCGCAGATTACTTCCACAACGCAGAGAACAAATCACTGTAAGTTCAAACTCGAATATCAGGAGCAGAAAGAAGTGCCGAAAACTCGATTCGCAGGTACTATCACCTCAATCACAATGCACGCAACCAGTCATAAAAATAACTCACACTCCGTCAAACGCGATAGCCAAAATCCCCGAATTTTTTCCTCCCGATTCGAGGACACCAGCTGCTTTTAAAAACCCGATCTTTTTTTCCATTCGTCGACAACTGGGAGAGGACGCCCAATTTTTCCATATCAAAATACTTTTACAGCGATTCCTGCGACGGACTTGTTTTTAATTTACATATTCTGTCTTCAGCATGTCATGTCGAATACGTGCCCTTTTTTTTTTTTTTTTTTTTTTTTTTTTTTTTTTGTAATTAATTTTCTTTATCGCCACATTTTCCGTCGTAGGATACACGCTGCTGCTGCTGATGCTGATGCGGCATTCACCCTGGGCGGATTGAGCCGGCTTCTTCCTGTTATGAGAAGAAGATTCTTGGGATAAATTACAGAAGTAGGGTACCCAGGCCTACTCGGATAATGTTCTTGCTTGCCGCGGGGTTCCCACAGACGCAGAGACAGGAACGACCAGAAGCCGCCGGTTACCGATGCAGACGCTCCTTGGATTTTCACCAAAGCCCTTGTTAGCCGGCGTGTGTGTCAGACCTGTCCGCCTTGGGTGGCCCTACCAGGAACGAAGTTCCGGGCGGCATAGCTCTGACACTACCGTTTACACCCCCCCACCGCTTGGTTTGACGTGGTAAGTCGCCGTTTTCTTCGCTATACCAGCTTTCACGCAAGATGAAGCTTCAGAGGCACAATTTCGGCTAGATTTAACACCAAACAGCATCGCCAAAATATCATAAATCCACATTCTCGAATTACGTTGACATTTTTTTTCGCGAACATTCTTTAAGTCGAACAGAGATACGTTTTTTCTTTAATATTAATATATTTATATTTTTTTAAATCCTAATATTTGTGGCAAATAGAATCGACTTTCACTTTGAGAAAGTTATGATACCATCTCTTCTTTCCTTGCTATTGGTTAATTAACAGAATAGACGAAGTTAGCATCAGCGACGATGTCGAAAGAAAATATTCCCTCAGACGATTAAAAAAGAGAATTTCTTTTTGTTTTGGGGGCGTTAGAATTAACGAATCATTTCTTGCCCCAGTTTACCACAAGTTGTAGATCATATTTTTTAAATTACCTGTCAATTTGACCTTAACGAACTAATCATATTTGAGTGAAATATAGAATTCGTTGTCATACCACACGAGCAAACCCAAGTAAACTCCGTAGGCTCCTGCTGGCGAATGCCTGCTTTATAATCGAACACCAAACATTTTCAGATAAATTCTGGTAATAAATATGGGTCAGGTTATGGACTTATTGCTTCAATCTCTTACATATCCGGAAAAAAGAGATTTTGATATACAAAATAGGAGATTTATAAGAGAACATGAAAAATATCGTTCACGAGTTCACAACGAATATATAAAATATCAGAATAATCATATATATATATATATATATATATATATATATATATATATATATATATATTAGGAGTCAATATTTGATAAGAAAATGATTTTGGTTGTTTTTTCACTGCTTCTATTCTTGTCTTCTTTTGTCACATATCGAAAGTAATTTGGCTATTGAAGATAACAATGACAGAATCATCTTTAACTAGGTGACGGATAAAACGTAATTTGAGTCAGTTTCCATCTTGACTGAGGTAATTTCTTGTTCTTCCACCTTTTTTTTTACAACGGACTAAGTTTTCGAAATCACGGTTATCGATCGACTAGGAAATTAGAAAATTGGATATTTATCTTCACAAAAACCGTTTCTTCTCTGTTTCGATATTAGAAGCCACCCATCTTACATAAAAACTATCTAAATTATCTCATGTATATGAGTTTCTAAAATGTTATTCTTTTCAGAAAATACATATATAATGCTGGGCGTGTTTTTAAACCAAAATATACTGTGATAAATACTTATTTTTTAAACAGAAATATGATAGATAGATAGATAGATAGATAGATAGATAGATATGTTAAAGGCTTGCAATTTTCACACATGTGAAAAAGAAACATATGAACATATCGAGATAGAAAACGTCTTTTTTGTGATGTCAACGAACACTCATTGCTACTTTCGTAATGCTTGTGGTAGTAGAGACTTTGTAATCGCAGATACAACTATAGTAACGCCGTTGAACAATACTGGTGTCAGACGCCTTCGAATAACACTCGCACTAATAGTACTTGCTCGATAATACTCGCTCGAATAGTAACCACCAAATAGTCATCCGTATAGTGATCACACTAATTTCCATATATACATTTCCTTTACCATCACGTGATCTACTTATTCAAAATGGGATCGCCTGTGTTTGCTCTCTGGTAATCTGTGTTCAAACTCTAGTGTCGGCAGCGATACTTTATTCCTATATAACACTTTATTCCAGAAAAAAACAGCTTAGCTCGTTTTAATACTGTGCTATATGAGTTTGAAAAGAAAATACGATAGATAGATAGATAGATAGATAGATAGATAGATAGATAGATAGATAGATAGATGAGAGCAGAGTGACAGACAGATAAATAAATATATAGATATATAAAAGCAGAGTGACAGCTAGCTAGATATATAGCTCTTGTTGAGGAGTCCTCCCCTTTTTACACAAATGGACTCACCGAGTATATACATATACTACTGCGACGTGAAGACCCGAGAGCAACATAGAGGGAACAACAGGGGGGTGAAAGGTTGTAGATAACCGGAAGAGTGAGAGTAAGGTAACAGACAGACAGGCAGACAGAACAAACGTAGCGAGCAAGAGTCACAGTGAGCAAGCACGTAGACTCAGTAAGAAGTCATACAGAGATACTCCAATACCAAAGACTATAGATATTTTGCTACTAACCCGCATTCCTGGAACTACTAACCTGCATTACCAGTTTGTATCATTAGGTTAAAACATTATTTTCTTATATTCATTCTTGGCGTTTGTTATTTATTGGTACTGGATTTCATCCCGGAATCCACAACAGATAGATAGATAGATAGATAGATAGATAGATAGATAGATAGATAGATAGATAGATAGATAGATGAGAGCATAGTAACAGATAGATAGATAGATAGATAGATAGATAGATAGCTGAGAGCATAGTAACAGATAGATAGATAGATAGATAGATAGATAGATAGATAGATAGCTGAGAGCATAGTAACAGATAGATAGATAGATAGATAGATAGATAGATAGATAGATAGATGAGAGCATAGTAACAGATAGATAGATAGATAGATAGATAGATAGATAGATGAGAGCATAGTAACAGATAGATAGATAGATAGATAGATAGATAGATAGATAGATAGATAGATAGATAGATAGATAGATGAGAGCATAGTGACAGATAGATAAATAGATAGATAGATTGAAGAGAAGTACCACGCAAAGAAATGATATGCATATATAAGAAAACTGTTACACCCATGGGAAAGAGAAACGGCATGGAAAATTTATTAGAACATCGACAACGAATTAGAATTCATAGGAAGATATCTCACATTTTTTATCAACCGAGTCTTACGGTCATGTCACGTGGATACACCTGCTTTCATCCGATCACCGATAGACCGGAAAAAATATATCCACAATAAGTAAGTTATGGATTTCATAATGCGTTCACCTTTCAGACCCAATTCAGCGAATAGGGAATTGATTTCATAGCTGGAAATACGAAACTTCTTACAATTAAAGAAATGTTCCTTGAGGAGTTAGAATCCTTTCTTCTTTTAAATGGTTTTATGGTATTCTAATATTTCCCAAACCGTTTTGTATACATATTACTCTTCTGTTGACTGGATCCTCAGTTTGTAAATAGGAAAAACAATGGCCAATGGCTATGGTCATTGAACTGTAACTTTGAACACCTAGATCTTCATTTATCAATCATTGCGCAAGCGACCGAACAACTGAATTAATCAATCAATCAATATGTCGTTTCCGTTTTCAGTGCTGCAGAAATGAACGCGTCCACGATTTCTGTTTTAATAAATGAGTTCTTCACGATTGGCCCGAATAGAACGGTTCAACGATTTTTGGTATCTTTTCGCTTGATTTACTTTCGTCTTCTCCTCGGTCAAGCAGGGGCCAAACAGTTATCCTGAAGAAGCGACAAATTCGATTATTGAAAAGCTTCCTTGTTTCTGATGATCCAAATGAAATTTTGGAAAAGAGGCAAAGTGTCGAGTCGGGGTGAACCGATTACTTCTATTAAACAGTCTTGATTGATACAGTTGAGACTGTGTCACAACGGGTGTGGTAAGAGGTTTGCTGTGTGTTGTGATTAATGAGACTCCTCGTTAGAACAGGCATATCCAAACAAACCGACGCTAGATTGTAAAATCATTACATTTCTGCGTTTTTAAAATAACATTATTCACTCTGGACAACAAAATTAAAAAGATGGAAAGAGGGAGATTATTTTGCACCGACTTACCAAGTAAAGTACGAAATGTTCACTTATATCTGTCTATATTTCTGAAACGAGGCATCATGTACATTATTTACATTATTCGGACTATCGTCCTCATCTTTGTCGCCATATTTATTACAACGTTTCAGCACTTGTACCTTCTTCAGATGGTTGGAATGTTGAACTGAACCATTTATTTCGCTCACTAGGGTAGACTGTTCTAGTTCCACGTGCCATGTTTAATGGATATCAGTTATGAGTTATCTCCTGTTAATTTACTTTTGAAAGTTCACCATAGCCTTAACAGGGTATTGAACTCACACTTTTTGGGTCCTATCACTGGATCTAACTGACGCCTTTATCCACTGCGCCATGTGTCCTTGAGTGTGAGTTCAATACCCGGTTAAGGCAGTGGAGAAATTTCAGAGGGAAATTAACAGGAGATAACTGATAATTGACATCCATTAAAGATGGCACGTGAAACTAGAACAGTCTACCCCAGTGAGCGAAATAAAGGGTTCAGTTCGACATTCCAACCACCTGAAGAAAGCCGAAACGTTGTAATAAATATGGCGGCAAAGATGAGGACAATAGTCCGAATAATGTAAATAATGTTCTCTTATATACTGTGTCCATTCGTGATGTGACCGGTCATGGATCACAAAAACTTCCTCTCCTTTGTAGCTCTAAGTAATAATATGTCTCCACATTATCTCTCTGATTCATGTTTTGCCATCAGTTTAGAGAAGCACGTTTGATAGGCCCTCATTGGTCTCCTCTGCACGTCTTGACTTCAATATGCCGTGTGTGTGTGCAAAATTATCCCAAATTCTAAATTATGCATCCCAGATATTTGAACTGTAGCATCCTTACATTACTTACATTGTTCGGACTCTTGTCCTTATCTTTATTGCCATATTTATGACGTTTCGGCAGTTGTAAATTCTAGCCTTCTTCAAGTGATTGAAATTCGTCCACTGGGGTAGATTGTTCTAGTTCCCAGTGCCATGCCTCTTACGTATATCTCAGTTATCTCCTTTAAACTTCTTGTTCACCACTGAAGTAGCCCGGTAGTGAACTCACAACTCCTTGGGTCAAGTCAGTGGATCCACCCAACGCATTTTTAGCACACTAGTTAAAATTCCAATTACCTAAAGACGGCCAGAGCGCACAACGTCCGAAACGTTGTGAACATGGCAATAAAGATGAGTACAACAGTCCGAACACTGTAAATAATGTAAATAATTACAACACCTCATCCCAGAAATATAGACAGATGCAGAATCCTTCACCCAACTGGTGTAAATAAAATGGTAAACTTGTCATTTCTTTCTGAGGTTAACTATGAATTCGAAACAAGCTTGACGAGCTACTCTAGCCTATAAAAACATATCTGTTACTGCAACCCCAGTAGCACCAAGCAAAAATGTTGCTATAATAACAATAAAGATGCGGACATTGGTTCTACTAAAAATAATTTAAAGAATGATAAATCCCCATCTCAGAAATTCAGTTTCATTTTTGTTTCCATTTTCCAATAAAAATTCCTCTCCATTCAGTGTATTCTAAGCACCCTTCTATGGAACCACATCTCCAGTTTCTTCACTATCTGTGGAGAAGTTATTTAGCGTCCACAGCCATCTAGAAGGACGGATATAGCAGGGGAGCACAATGACTAAATTTTCCTTTTTCTCACTCTTTTCTTAGCCTTCGGGCCAAATATTTCACACATATTTCAATTTCTATACTTGATACTGACGTCTCCAATTCGTAGCTTGTATCTTGGGCTATAATCCTTGTTACCGATTATTCATTCTGTTTCTCATCCTTTCACCAAAGTTAAGCAACGTCGAGCAAGGTTAGTACCTAAATGGGTGACCGCTTGGGAATACCAGGCGGTTTAAGCTTGGATGTGAAGGTGGTGAAATAGATGATGGAATTCCGACAGGAATTGGAACTCAGCTTACAGAGTTCAAATTCATGTCGGGTTCTTTAATTTTCGCACAAATATTTTGGGAAAGGTAAGAATTCCCTTATCTCCCCCCAGCTATAGGTTAATTAATAGTAAATCATTAATATCTCCAGGGATTTCCCATCCTGGGTAAGACGATAAACTACATCCGAGAGCATGGTCATTGATCTGGAGTTTTTAAGGAGTGTGGAACTACCATTTAATTGCTGGGGTTCCCAGGTCTATCCTGACCCGAGGTGGTAGCACTTGTTAGGATCCCAACTATGGGCAAATAATTAACCCCTAAACTCCAGGAAAGTGTAAAAATAGGTTTTAATACCAAAAATACGTTTTTGAAAAAAAATTATTACCAGCAATACATTTTTTTTAAAAATTTTCCAGATATATTTTTTTGAAAAAATATTTATTACCAACAATAGAAATTTTGAAGATAAAAATATTACCAGTAATACATTTTTGGGAAGAAAAAAACATTACCAGCAATAAAAAATTTGTCGGCATTAAATCTCCCATTGAGGCTGATATGCCGTAAAACAAAACAGAGGAAAAATCCAAAAATTTCTTCCTACATAAAATTGTTTTCTTGCTTCAAATAACCTGTAAAATGTAGATATGTCTTAAAAAGAACAAATCATTGAATTAAACAGAGAGTTTACCTTCTTATAATTCAAGGTAAGTCTTTAATTTTCGACTTTTTCGTTAATGCAGTTTCGCTGTGTCTTACACGGAGTCAATGGCGTTTCTTATTTTATTATGGTTGGGCCTGCCATTGTTTAGAAAATCAAATTTTAAAATTTAACACTGGTTTCTGACGCCGAACCTCAAATCTGTGATTATCTCATTTTCTTTACTATTGCTAAACAACAGAATATTTAATAATCTCAAACGGATTAGTTTCTTAACAAGACAAAATGCTCGCTTCGCCAATTCACCTTTCTTAAATTCCACTCGACTATAACGATTAGCCATTCATTTTATGCAAATGTTTGAATTGTAGTCACTATAACTACTAAAATCCATTTCACACAGTCAATGTGTGATTTTCCGTGTGGAAAAACAACTGGTAATTGTTCCTCTTTTTGTTACTTTGCACGACAATTACGCCCTGTCACTACCTAATAAATAATGGGCGATTTCGTTGTGACAAAAAATATATCAAGGACGCTACTCGGTTTCAGTGAGAAAAAGAAAGAAAGAAAAAAGAAAGAAAGAAATTTAGAAGTGTCTAACATTTGTTTCACTGAAATGGAAAAAAGTTGTCTTTTCATTTGTACCCCCTTACTTCTTAAAATAACAACCTTATTTATGTTAGGAACTTGGCTATTTAGTAGCATTTTTTAATAGTTAAGTTTGATTTCTGAAAGATCTCTCTAGTTGCAACTACTGTCATTAACTATTGGAGATTTTAGGGTTGCTTGTTTTTGTTTATCGCCATATCAACCTCTATGGGTTATCCAATGCCGAAATTACAATATTTTTTACGCTATTTTTCTTTTCTTTTTTAGATATTAATGGTTTTAGTCATACTAATTAACCCATAGGTAGGGGAAAGAAGTGGTAGATTTATATATTTTCTAAGAGTATATGATGAACCCAAGTGGAATTCCAAGCATTTAACCATTACACAGACCGCACACACAGGTTTACAAAATCTGACCGTACGGCACCGGTGTCTCAACATGATGTGGCCGTAAGCCGACTGTTGGTGAGATTAAATTAGGGACACTGTGAAAAAGTTATTGATCATATCTTAAAGACGTCTTTATATTTCAATAAATTTGATAAAGAAATCGTAAATAATCGAAATAAACCATTTTTTACGTGTGCATTAATCATTGTCACAAACTAAGCCGAAATTATTCCGGTAGCTCTATTCACCCCAAACAAACAGGTAAACAGTGAAAGGAGCGTTATAGTAGATTCCTCAGTCTATCGCTAGTCCATAGTTTTAAATCACTCACAATCAAATCTACATTACTTGATAATGGTCTGTGAAACCAGCAACTTGCAGTATCTGGCGCCTTAAATTATTCGCGAGACAGATTTCTTGGTACAAGGCCAT